CTGCTGCTGCTGCTGCTGCTGTTGTTGCTGTTGCTGGTAATGATGGTGGTATGCCTGCTGCTGCTGCTGCTGCTGCAGCATCTGCTGCTGCTGCATGAGCTGCTGCTGCTGCTGCCACAAGTGCATGTGCTGCAATTGCTGTTCTTGCTGCTTCTGCATCTCTTCCCTCTCGTTATCTCCACTGCTGCTGCTGCTGCTGCTGCTGCTGCTGCTGCTGCTGCTGCTTTCCGTCCCCCTCCCACTACTACTACCGCCGCCGCCGCCGCTGCTGCTGCTGCTGCTGCTGCTGCTGCTGTTTGGGGGCCCCAGTATTTTATGCTGCAGCATATGTCTGATTGCTGCATCTACTTGTGTGTGCTGCAGCGGCAGCAAGTAATCAATAACAGAGAGAAGCTCGGGGTGTACATGCAGCTCGTGAGGTGTACATACACCCAAAACAGGAACAGATATATTTTTTAAAAAAGCAGCAAAAGATACACAATCCTGACAAAGCACAGCACTGTGTTCTTTTGCTGCTGTCGCCAGCAGCTGCAGCGCCTGCCCCCTCCCTCCTCCTCCCCCTCCTCCTCCCCTCCCTGCTGCTGCTGCTGCAGCAGCAGCAGCAGCAGCAGCAGAGGTAGAGGGGGGAGAGTTTGGGTGCAGCAGCAAGTTAGTTTTGTGTTTATTTCCTATTACTAATATAGAACCACCGCCACGCCGCAGCTGCAGCAAAAACTTCAGAGCTCGCTTATAAAGCTGCAGGCTGCTGTATGGCTCAAATATATAGTGAGATGTCAATACACCCGAAACACGAGCTATACTCATCTTTTATACTGCTGCTGCTGCTGCTGGTAGTGCTGCTGCTGCTGCTGGTGGTGGTGGTGGTGGTGGTGCTGGTGCTGGGGTTGCTGGGGCTGCTGCTGGGGCTGCTGGTGGTCGTGCTGCTGCTGGGGCTGCTGGGACTGCTGGTGCTGGTGCTGGTGTTGGTGCTGGTTATGGTGGTGGGGGTGGTGCTGGTGCTGCTGCTGGTGCTGGTGCTGCTGTTGCTGCTGCTGCAGTTCCAAGCTGCTGCACCCAAATGCAGCAGCAGCAAAGGCAGAAGCAGCAGACACCGAAGATGTTTACTCCTTAGAGGAGTTGCTGCCTATGAACTCCTTCTGCTGCTGCTGTTGCTGTTGCTGTTGCTGCTGCTGCTGCTGTTGCTGCTGCTGCTGTTGCTGCTGCTGTTGCTGTTGCTACTGCTGCTGCAACTGCGTTGTTCGAGCAAAACGTGTGGCCCTGCACGCAGCTAATAATGGTGCCGCAGCTGCAGCAGCAGCTGCAGCAGCAGCAGCTGCAGCAGCTGCTGCTGATGATGATGCTGCTGCAGCAGCTGCTGATGATTTCGCTGCAGCAGCTGCTACCCCTGCCGCAGCAGCAGCACCTGCTGCTACTGATGCGCCACTGCTCGCCTTTGCTGCAGCAGGTTTCGTTGCTGTTGCTATTGCAGGAGCTGCTGCTGCTGCTGCTGTTGCTGCTGTTGCTGTTGCTGCTGCTGCTGCAGTGGTTTTTCTTGCTGCTCAAGGAAGCCGCGCGAAGGCAGCAGCTGCTGCTGCTGTTCCCCGCTGCTGCTGCTGCGGCTGCTGCTGCTGCTGCTCCCCTACTTATTGCTGCAGCAGCAACGAAATATATTTCTAAAATATTACTAAAATTATTTCAGGGAAAAGAAGACAGCACAAGCTGCTGCTGCTGCTGGTGCCTTGCATGCGCCAGCCCCAAACCAGCAGCAGCAGCAGCAGCAGCAGAAGCTGCAGCAGCAGCAGCAGCAGATATATTTGTATAGCCGGCAGGCATTGTTTAGAGATCTGTCGACAATAATAATTGCTTCTTAAGGAACAGACAGACTCACTAGGCAGCAACTCTCGCCGCTGCTGCTGCTGCTGCTGCTGCTGCTGCTGTTGCTGCTGCTGCTGCTGCTGCTCGCGATAGCAGGAATGAGGTGTATTGACAGTTGCAGCTGCAGTTGTTGCTTCGCCTGGAGGGAGGTATAGCAGCTCCAGCAGCAGCAGCAGCAACAACTGCAGCAACAGCTGCAGCAGCAACAACATCAACTGCAGCAACAGCAGCAGCAACAGCAGCAGCAGCAACTGCAGCGAAAGCCGCAGCAGCAGCAGCAGGAACTGCCGCAGCAGCTGGAGGAGCAGCGGCAACAACTGCAGCAACACCGCAGCAGCATCGACTACAACTATAGC